GCGTGCGTTCAGCACTCTGTCGCAGTGTTGCTCCAGCACGTGTGTGCGCGTGCGTTCAGCACTCTGTCGCAGTGTTGCTCGCGTGTTGCTCAGAGTGGGACTCTGCTGTGCTACTGTACCTCGAGGCCGGCAGCATGGCTGTGCTCAGGGCAGGCCGGGCTCTTGGCCGCAGTGCAGCTCTTACTGTGAGCCAGCCAGGGCTTGGCATAGCCCCGAGCCTGAGTGTGCGGTGTCTGTGAAAATCGCAGAGAGCGGGGGAGCGAGGCGGGGGCGATCAAGGGAGAATAAGGGGGAAGAGTGAGTTTCAAAGCAGGGGGAGAGGGACAGAGGGAGATGTGGAGCAGTGGAGCGAGAGATGCAGTGTTTTAAGTGGAGGATGAAGACCGGAATGGGGAAAATCGAAGGCACAGGGAGGCGCAAAGGCAAAAATTGAAGGAATAAAAAAAAAAAAACAACAACAAATAAAAAACAGTTACAGGACAAGGACAATGTCATGCTGGACTACTGGAGATGAGGACAAGACCAGGGGTTTACTCATTCCAGCAACAGCCCTGCTGGACACCCAACACACTGCAGGCTTCTCATAAGACTGCTGCCCAAAGCCCTGTCACTCATTTCCTCTCCTTTTCTGACTCTTTCTCTCCGTCTCTCCTGATGACATCCTTGGAAACTGCATGTGTTTCACTTCAAGTAGCTCCCCTCATCCTCTAAACCCCGCCCATCTGCTCAGACCCCTCCCCTCTTCCTCTAAACTCCACCCATCTCATCTGACCCCTCCCCTTTCTCTAAACCCCACCCATCTGCTCAGACTCCTCCCCTCTTCCTCTAAACCCCACCCATATCCCCTGTCCCCTCCCCTTTCACTAAACCCCACCCATCTGCTCAGACCCCTCCCCTCTAAACTCCACCCATCTCCCCTGACCCACCCCCTTTCTCTAAACTCCACCCATCTTTTCAGACCCCTCCCCTCTTCCTCTTAACCCCACCCATCTCCTCTGACCCCTCCCCTTTTGTTAAACCCAACCCACCCATCTTCTCTGACTCCTCCCCTCTTCCTCTAAACCCCACCTAACTACTCAGACCCCTCCCCTCTCCCTCTAAACCCCACTCATCTTCTCGGACTCCTCCCCTCTTCCTTTAAACCTCACCCATCTGCTCAGACCCCACCCATCTTTCAACAAAAGTGGGAGAGCAAGGACCCGCCTCTCTGTTCTACCAGTGCTCCCAATCTCTCGCTCACCCTGGCTCCACTGGTGGGCGTTGCCGGTGACGACGGGACGGAGGCAGCACTCTGGTTGCTCTGGCTGGCACTGGAGCTGGACCGAGTGGGTGAGGCGGCCCGCGACCCCGGCTTCGACCTTCGACCCCGGGAGCGGAAGGCAGCCAGTCCCTGGGACGCTGCCTCGGGGAGGATGAACTTCTCTCTCAGCTCCAGGTTGGTGCGGCCACGAGCTGCAGACAGAGGGCAGCAGTGAGCGCTCGCCGTGGCAACGGAAGTGAAGAGCCAACCTCTTTCAGGGTTAAAGGTCAGGGTTCAGTCACTGGAGTCAGCAGCACAGGGACAGGAAGGTGCTGTAAACAACAGCTTTTCACTGCGCAAATAGGAGATTAAAGGCCAAATAATACTGACAGTAAGATATTTCTCAACAGTTTTTTTAGGTAAAAAACCTCCAGAACTACCCTGTGATGCCCAATCATATCAATATTAATGATAGAAGCAAAACTAGAAATGACTGACATGGTTAATAAACACATTCTCATAGTGTCTCACTGTGCAGCAGCCCACTTTCACATCACAGGAGCACCACAGCAGCAAAACCCACAGAGAGGTGGAGGAGAGAGGGAAGGAGAGGGAGAGGGGGAGGAGGAGGAGGAGAGAGGGAGAGAAAGAGAAGGACCGAGAGGAGAGAGAGAGGGAACGAGAGGGAGAGGAGGAGAGAAAGAGGAGAGGAGGGGAGAGACAGAGGAAATGCAGAGAGCGGAAGAGAGAAAGGGGTGATCACCTGCGTGTTTCAGCCCAGCAGTGCATCAGTAACAGTAGTGCTGGAGCGAGAGTTAGTCAGCCAGGCACAGTCACCAACTGCACAATTAGCGAATGAGCCGAGTCATTAACGAGTCATTCCCAGCCCAGGAGAGAAAAGGCAGCCTTCAGCAGCAGGAAAGGGTCAGTCTGTACTGGGACCAGTGATCTGACAATGGGAGTCCCGGTTCCCAGTACACAGTAATCAGTACTGTGCGTCAGGCCAGGTGTCCAGTTAACAGTTAGCAGGCAGACACCATGTGCACTGAGAAGCAGCTCCTGTGTCAGTGTTGCCCTGCCCCCTCTGCAGCTGAAACCCTGCAGTACAGCCCCACACACACACACACTCCGCTCGACACCAGCTCTGCAGTACGGTGCAGCTCTGAGCCTGCAGAGCCTAACGAGAGCAGGAAAGCACTGGGCCCACAGCCGGAGGACAGATACCTCTGCAGCAGAAATAGCCTGGGGTGACTGTCACTGCAGTGTGAGAGACACAACAGAGACAACAGCGTCAAACTGACACACAGACACCTTGACAGAGACAGACAGAGAGACCAGGCATGGCGCCTCTGTCAGAGACAGAGCGACAGAGCCACCGACAGACAGACTTGTGCACGGACACCAGGAGAGAGACACAGACAAGCACACAAGGATACCGAGACAGACACACAGACATAGTCAGATCCACACAGTGAGTCGCAGACGCTGAAATTGAAGAGACGTTATTTCAGAACACAATAAAAACGGCAGGCACAGATACAATAGTCTCTGACACTAGTGACCAACCAACTATGCAGAGGACTGCTGTAACACCCATCTACAACACTGCATCGGATGACAATATTTTCTATTGGTTATTTGTCACTCCAGTCTCCAGCAGAGGCAGGCTTTGGTGTGATGGGCTTGTGTCTGGGTGTTGGGGTGCATGCGTGTCTGGGTGTTAGGGTGCATGCTTCTCAAATTCCAGTTCTCCCAGAACTCAGACACTGGTCCCCTACAGGTGAGCCAGTGACATCGCAGCTCAGCACAGTTCACACAGCAGGGTCAGAGGGAGAAAAGCAGCCAACCTATTGGAGACTGAGTGGCTATGGAGCTGCTGGACTCTGAGCGAAGGGGTTTATTCCCAGGGTGATGCACTGGAGAGAGAGACAACAGCTGAGAGAGGCAGAGGAAGAGAGGCAGAGGAGAGCCAAACACCATGACAGAGGTGAAGGCAACTTGGCAGAGGGAGAGGGAGAGCCAGAGAGTGAGAGAGTGTGGCAGAGGGAGAAGGAGAGAGAGTGTGGCAGAGGGAGAAGAGAGAGTGTGGCAGAGGGAGAAGGAGAGAGAGTGTGGCAGAGGGAGAAGAGAGAGTGCGGCAGAGGGAGAAGGAGAGAGAGTGCGGCAGAGGGAGAAGGAGAGAGAGTGCAGCAGAGGGAGAAGGAGAGAGAGTGCAGCAGAGGGAGAAGGAGAGAGAGTGCAGCAGAGGGAGAAGGAGAGAGAGTGTAGGAGAGAGAGTGCAGCAGAGGGAGTGCAGCAGAGGATGGTGCTGGGAGACAGAGAGCGAGTGTGCAGCTCGCCGGTTCCTGTCTGTAGCTCTGACTGCTGTCAGACAGAGCGAGCCCACTCTGCACTTTGAGACACGCAGGCGCGAACTCTCACCTCTGCAGGGGTCATTCTTGACCAGGAACTCGTCCAGGGCCATCCAGCCCCCTCCCACCCGCACCATCACCGTACTGCGCAGGATCCGCACCAGCCGCAGCTGCTGGGAGTCTCCGAACTGCGGCGGGAGAGCAGTGGAAGAGAGAGCAGTTAGCCCAGCGTGCAGTTACACTGGCAGAGCTGAGCATCACAGGAACACCCACACCAGCAATCGCCATAGCCCTCCTCTCGCATGCTCCATCAATTCCAGATCACCCCACAGCAGCCCCGGCCCTGCAGACGTTTACTGCGGTACGTGCTCGCGTTACTGCGCTGCACCGCGGTAAACCTCGGAAGAGCCCCCCAGCCCCACTCCCAGCAGCAGGAATCACAGCTCCGCTGACAGGGGTGCCCACCACCATGTGTCCCGGGACGGCCACACTCCCCCCGGCCCCATCGCCCTGCCCTCGCGGGGTCCGCCCAGTGTCTGCAAGCGAGCTGCCCTCGGCTCCGCATGGTGCGCTCCCACACGCCAGGCCTGGGGTCAGAGTCGTCCATCCCACACAGCTGCCCCCGCCGGGGCATTTACCCAGCACAGGTGGGGGGCTCCAACACCCAGGGCAGGCTCACTGCTCTCTTGACATGATTTTAATTCGGATTTTTAATCGCTGTATTCAAAATGTAAAAAATTTAAGTTTTCATTTTAAAACGATAAATTTAAAAAAGAAAAGGAATGAATTGCTTGATTCGTTAAGAATAAAAAGGAACTTCGCAGCACCCGATCAAACACAACAATAGCACACATTACCTGGTTTCCAAGGAAGAACTACATTAAGTCCAGCAGACGAAGAGAGAGGAAATAAAACAGAGAGAGAGAGACGGTGAAATAAGACACATTGACACTCCTGGACTGACAACTGAATTATTACACTGAACAAACCTTCACCCTCCCTGTCTCACTCTGTTTCACTGACATAATCTCAGTCTCCCTGTCTCACTCTGTGACGCTGCACACAGCCTCACCCTACAGCAAACCCAGTTCTAATCAGACTGTGCCATAATATCAGATCTAGTAGTCAAAGTGCAGTGATTAAACCCAGCTCTAATCTAAATGCAGTAAGATCAGCTCTAGCAGTCAAGCTGTTGTACGTGAGCCCAGCTCTAATCTGACTGCAGTAAAGTGATGGAAGTGAACCATGAGTGACAGGAAGAGCCGAGCAGTGTGATGCAGTGACAGACAGTCAGAAGGACAGACAGACGATGTGTGATGGAGGGCACTTCAGTGCCGTTAGTGCGACACATTCGTTAAAAATAAAAACAACCGTGACAGGATTATCAACATCAAAGTTATCGAACCACATCAAAAACTGTGCAACAAACAGGAGTTGTAGTTTTGTCTTGTATTGACGTGACGAAGACCTCAGGAATCCAGCAGATTCCCAGTTCACAGAGACTCCAGGAGCTCTCAGCAGGAATCCAGCAGATTCCCAGTTCACTGCAACTGAGAGACACATCCACAGGATCTAGGAGGAAGCTGACAACTGAAGCTCTGCTGGGCTCGGGCTCCGGACCAGTACTCTCCAAACTGGGCTCCACTGGCCACATGACCAACACGGTCATGGCCCTGAGGTGGTGGGTCTGGGCCGAAGGTACCAGGTGTCGGGCCAGAGGCAGTGATCACAGAGCCCCGTGTGTGAACAACTGATCACAACCAGGTTTCTCTTCTGACCCACATTGGAGGTGACACCTCCTGCCATGCCACCTCCAGAGGGGAGGTCCCACTTGGAAAAAAACAGGGGGCAACTGTGTTAGCTTGCAGCCCTGCGAGCTCCCCCGTCCCCAGAGGAAATGGAACAGTCTGAGGTTTCCACATCAACAACAAATGAAAATCAACCACCATGAGAATAACAGACACAGCAAGCAGCTTCTTGTTTCGGCCATGAATGTTAATGAGCTGGATGGGTGAGTGTGGCCCTAACGAAGGACGGCCAGTAATGAATTAGTCTGTTAATCAACACCAGTCAATCAGAGCCATGGGTCCAAGGTGATGGATCAGCCAGTCAGCCAGTGAGGGGTGGCCAGATGCACACATGGGTGAACAGATGGATGGATTTCTCTCAAACAAAGGAACTAACTGCAGTATTCATATTAACATGCTTATCTTTAAAGCAACAATATATATACTGATATACAGTAGTTTTCTGGAAAGCCAAGAAACCAAATCATTGCTGCCCTTCACGAAGAGCTGGGATCCTTACCCGGTACTTGTTCTCTCCAATCTGCTCCACCTGGAATCTCTTGGCGCACTTGCACTGCGCCACCTGCCTGGTCACCTGCAAGACACACAGGCAGTGAGGAGCCAGAGCAGAGACCACAGCCTCACACACCCTCCAGGAGCACTCAACAGGACACACACACTCACACACTGCAGGAGAACTCATCAGGAGACACACACACTCCACACGACTCCTCTCTCACCTCATCCTCGATCTTGTCAGCGTCCGTCGTGGGGCGGTAGGCGTCCTTGTTGGGGTGCAGCGCAGCCACAAACTCATAGTAATCGATGTAGCCATCGCCATCACGGTCGAAAATATCGGCTACTGCCGTCATCTCGAGTTTGCTGGTGGGGAATTCTGGGACAGGCAGACATACACAGTCAACGAAACTGACGTCTGCAGCGTGTTGTGCAGCAGGGCTGTGTTGTGTGGTGTTGTGCGATGTAGTGTGGTATTGTGTGCCGTTGTGCAGCAGGGCTGTATTGTGTGGTGTAGTGCGATGCAGTGTGGTGTTGTGCAGCAGGGCTGCGTGGTGTTGTGTGGTGTAGTGCAGTGTGGTATCGTGCGCTGCTGTGTGGTGTTGTGTGGCATTGTGCAGTGTGGTATCGTGCGCTGTTGTGTGGTGCCGTACTGGAGGCCAGGATGCCGTCGATGAACTCCTGCCGCGTGATCTTGCCGTCCTGGTCCTTGTCGATGCGGCGGAAGAAGTCCATCACCCGCGACTTCTTGTGGTTCATCCAGCGCATGTACTTCTTCCGCCACACGTCCAGGTCGAAGTTCGCAAACTCCTTCAGCTGGCGGACACAGGGGAGGGGCAGGTTTGTGGGTTTGAGCCTGTTTGTATGTCTCATCATTTGAAAACGTAACCCAAGTATTCAGACGTCATTATTCTTCCAACAGCCTGAGGACTGTCCTGCCTGTTAATGACACTTCCCCATGGGCAGCTGCTCCCATACTGTGCCAGAAAGCCCAGGGGCCTCGGCGGGTGGCATACCTCTTCCAGCCTGTCGAGGGCGTCATTGAGTTTGCGCTGGCGGTCCAACGCCAGGAGCCAAACCTGCTGCCAGCGTGCAGAGAGCTGCGTGACCCGCGGGCTGCTGGACTGGGACAGCGCTGGGACCGGCACCGCCTGGCCCTGAGAGAGAGGCTTGCCTGCAGAGAGAGAGAGCGATGAGGGCCGAGCTGTCCTGTCCGCAGCGCACGGGCCGGTGCAGGAGCTCCGCGGGCGACTCACGTGTGCGCGATTTCTCGGCCAGCCCGCTGGGCGGCTCTGTGCTCTTCCTCTTGTACGTCTTCGTCACGCGATCCACATCTGGCTGCTTGCGGGTCATCTCCTCCATGAACACCTGAGGCCGGCGGGCAGAGAGAGACGCTGAGTGGAACTGGTCACGATACCGAGACCAGCAGACGGGCAGCCTGGCCGGCCCGCCACACCCACCTGGTGCTCGGTGATCAGCGCCTTGACCTGCTCGATGCTCTGCGGGAGGGGCTCGGTGTCGCGCTGGACCAGCGTGGTCTCAGCCCACTGCAGCCATGACAGCAGCTCGTCCAGGAGCGCGGCATTGCTCCGCAGCTCGGCCAGCGCGGACTCCAGACGCTGCTCATGCTGCTTGGCCCAGGCCAGCACCTGCAGGGCAGCGGCAGCGCGGGGTCAGACTGGGGTGCGTGGGGCTCCCCTCTCTCTCCAGCCTCCACCCTCCCCGGCAGCCCCCCCGTCTCTCCGGCACGCCGTCCACCCCTCACCTCCTCGAAGCGCGCTCTGATGATGGTGATCCAGTGCTTGATGGTGGTGATGCAGTCAGGGTGACAGACCGTCAGTATGGCCTCGCCCATCCCCGCGGCCTCATTCACGCTGCCCCGCTTCTCCTCCACGCTCTTCAGAAACTCCTGGGCAGGCAGGGGAGGGGGAGGGGAGACGAGGGCATTAGACAGCGGCGCGGGGCCACAGGAGAGGACCCCTGGAGGACGGCGGAGTGGCCTGTACCTTGTGCGAGTGAATGAGAGCCTGCAGGGTCTCGGGCTCCTCCGGCAGCACTCCTCTGAAGCGCAGGCTCTGCTCCGCCTCCGACAGCCACTCCAGCAGCCGCTGCACAGCAGCTCGGAACTCCTCCGCCTGGAGAAACAGGGCGGGGGGTCAGGAGGGCGCAGGGCGGGCGGCGCGGGCGTTTCTCGGGCCGGTCCGGCGGGCTCGCTCACCTGCTTGAGCGCCGTCTCCAGGCGCGCCTGCTTGGACACGGACAGCGCGCACACCGAGTCCCAGCGGCTGCTGAGCTCCTGCAGCTGGACCTTGACCCAGCTGGTGTCGTCCCGGGAGTTCTCCATGAGCTCGCGCGCAGAGCGCTTCAGCGCCTGGACGCTCCCTGTCCTCTTCCCCAGCTCCTTCTGGAAGACCTGGGGTCCGCACAGACACAGCACCGTGAGGCAGGACCAGCGGACCAACACTTCTCCTGCACTGGGAATACTGGCAGGGGCAACCAGCTTCTGATAACAGTTTTCTCAGGAGGAAGAATACGAGAAACTAGGAATACAGGGGTGGGGGAGCATTCCAGACCTGGGAAAAAAAGCATTTAAAAACTAGGAATGGCAAAGATGATTCCAGAACCGAACCCCCCCCCTGACCTTGTGGGCGTCCAGCAGGTTGATGACCAGGTCGAGGTCGCCGTGGACGGGCTGGTCCTCACTCAGCTGTGGCTCTACGCGGTACAGCCAGTCCACCAGGGCCTGCAGGGCATCTGCGAACTGCCCCGAGAACAGCAGGGCCTCCTCCAGCTTGTGCTGCCTGAGCCCGAGAGCAGCACAGCAGTTACACACAGCGCTGACCGGCCGCACATCACTATCATCATCATCATCATCATCATCATCATCATCGAGGCTCACTGTCTGGTCATACCGGGCTAAAACTCTGTTGAGTTTCCTCCTAGTAGGACTGGGACCCATGTGATTCTGGCAGGTGTGGGAACTCTGGGATTAGATGTGTAAATTTGGGGAAGAATATTTGTCTAATCCCAGGGTATCTGTCACAGCGCAGAAGGAAGTGCACCTCTGTCTCTGTTTCTCCCCGCTGGCAGTGGGAGCACAGCCTGTCCTCTCTGGGCAGCCAGGTCTGCCTGTGTCCAGTGTCTATGGCCAGGCTGTGGTCACTGAGCCTGTCCTCTCTGGGCAGCCAGGTCTGCCTGTGTCCAGTGTCTATGGCCAGGCTGTGGTCACTGAGCCTGTCCTCTCTGGGCAGCCAGGTCTGCCTGTGTCCAGTGTCTATGGCCAGGCTGTGGTCACTGAGCCTGTCCTCTCTGGGCAGCCAGGTCTGCCTGTGTCCAGTGTCTATGGCCAGGCTGTGGTCACTGAGCCTGTCCTCTCTGGACAGCCAGGTCTGCCTGTGTCCAGTCTCTATGGCCTGGCTGTGGTCACTCTCTGGACTGCCTGGTGGGTCAGTCTCTCTCACCTTTCCACACTCTTCCCGCAGACAGTATCCCACTTGTCCCGGACCTCTCCCAGCAGGTTGTCCAGTTTCTGCGAGTCTCCGGGAAGGCTGGCCTTCTCCCGCATGGCACGCCCGGAGCGGACCGTCGTGTCGTAGACCGGCTGCTTCGAGCCCAGGGACTTCTGGAACTCCTGCACCGGGAGAGGGGGAGTGAGGCAGGCCGGAGTGAGACAGGGTGAGGCAGGACGGACGGGGTGAGAGACACGGGCAGAGGGGTGACGCGACCTTGTGCTTGGTGAGCTGCAGTTTGATCTTGTCGGGCTCGTTGGAGATCTCCAGCTCCGAGTCCAGGCGGCTCTCCGCCTCCTCCAGCCAGTCCGACAGCTTCCTCCAGGCCTCGTGGAACTGCGGGGGCAGAGGAAGAGGAGGGCTGAGCGTCTCGGCGCGGCTCTGCTGTCTGACCGCACCAGTGCTGGCGCCAGGCGCCGGGCCCCACCTGCTTGGCTCTCTTCCTGGATTCGTCCAGCGCCCGGCCCCGCTCCAGCGACCTCTGCACCAGCTTGTCCCAGCGCGACTGCACGCTGAGCAGCAGGTTCTTGATCAGAACGACGTCTTGCTTCAGGCTGGCGAACCTGAGCTGAGCCCCGGCCTTCTCCAGAGCCAGCACCTGCTCACGGTGGGCGTTCACCTCGTTCACAAACACCTGAGAGGGATCAGATGGACAGAGGGACAGGATTAAAACCTCTCCACGCTCCCCACTCTCCTCCCCTCTTTATCCAATTTCATTCCTCATCCGAAATCGTCGGTCCATACCCTGCTCCCCCCCTCACCCGCCCCCTGCCCCTCCCATCAGCCCTCTCTGTGACCGCGCCCCTCCCCTCACCTTGTGCTCGTCGATCTGGAAGAGCACCGTGTCCAGGGTGAGGCTGGGCGGCTGGGCAGTGTTCAGGACCTGCTCGGCCTGGGTCAGCCAGTTGATGCAGTCCTGCAGGGAGGCCTGGAACCCGGTCGCCAAGGAGACCGCCTCCTCCAGCTTAGACTGGGAGACAGAGAGAGGGGTTAACACACACACAGCACATTGACACAGCTCAGAGACAGAGAGAGGGGTTAACACACACACACA